GGATAGGTTTGTAACCTGTGTTTTTTAACAGATGACAGTCCTACGCATATGTAATTTTAGTTACATTTATAGCAGCCTCATTAAAAAAAGGCAAAAAAATGGCTGAAATTAGTTTTAATATAATTTACTAGCCCACAATTTAAAATATACTAGATATAAAAATTATTATATATCTTACATAGTTTTTCATACTAATTTATTGAACCCCAGTATTTACATTTTTAGCACATGTAAATTCAAATGCTAAATTTTCACTAAAAATACTTGATCTGTAATTTGATTTCATAAAATTTATAAGCAAAAATGTAGATTCACATATTCAGGGTGCTCTAAATAGGTGTTTAACAACAGTAAAATAATCATTTTAAATTTAAAGTCTGTTTAATAAAATAAGAATTCCTTCTTGAGGCATACTAGCCACATTGGAAGTGCCCATTAATTATATGTGAATAATGGCTCGTCTTTTGAACCACAGCGCTGTAGGATGAATGTTTTGGTAACTTTAGGTCATGTTTTCATTCCCTAAAGAAGATTTTCTGCCTCAAGGGTAAGGGCCAGGCTATTTGACTTCTAAAAAACTGGAGGAGGGAAGGGTCTGGTGTCTCAGCATTTAGTTATCAATAGGTTTAGGGATTCTTTCTAGTATAGGACCCCTGCCTACAATACAGAGACCCCCATTTTACTTTTTTTTTTTTAAAGAATAAACTTCTAGGCTTCTGCTTGTGTAATTGGGAAGAAGGGGGGTTGTCTCTCAAAAGTATGGGTACAGGTGTGGTGGTACTAGAGGGCCTGTGAATCTAATTGCTTATTAAGTAGCTTTTTAACTCTTTATTTTTAGGTGTTCCCTCTCTTTGGCCTCCTTTTTATAGCTACCTAGTGCCTCTAATTCTCGAGCCTATAGAGAACCCTTTATATTTGGATTCATTGTTGATTTTTTCCCTCCTTCTAGTTTAGGGCTCCACTTTCTTTAGTCCATTGGGTTTTATGCCAGTGGTCTTTAGATTATTCCCTAGCCTCAAAATTTGGTTGCAGTTGTGCTTATGTTTTACTGTCTAACCTTGTATATTTCTCACACCATTTTTTCCCCTTTCTAAAAATGCCTTTTCTGTAGCTTTAGAGATGTTTCAGGAAATGAGATGCTTTGACTCAAATCAACCATCTTTTACCTAGAAGTTCCCATTTACCTAATCATGAGCCAGATTTTGACATTTACAAACATTTCATCCAGTATTTGTGCTTTCTCCAGTGTCTAAATTTATAGTTCAGTGGAAAACTCACTAGTGCAGCTAGGCTAGGACAGTAATGGCTTGATTTGGGAGCATAACAGAATTGACAGTTACAAGGCAAATGATGAGAATGAGAGGATTTACAGATAGGTAAACAACGTTTAGAACTGTTAGGAAAAAACTTGGACATCTGAGACAGGAAGCATAAATATATCTTCAGTGACATCTCCCTGTAGGCCAATACTTTTAGTTCTTTTCACTTTTCATGATCGAGGAGCTACTTGTTCTACATGTCGGAGAATCCAAAGAACAACTAATGTTACTATTACAAAAAAAATAAAACCTGAACAAAGCATATTGTTCACAAACACAGTATATCCATAGGACCTGTAAGAGAAACACACATAATATTGAGTGAGCATAGCCCAGAATACTGTAGTAGCAGGTTGGGTTCATTAATTGAATTGAGCTTGCTGTTTGGTTGTACAGGCAAACAGGATAGTGTCTGTACTATGATTTACTTTGCTGGTAGTTGCTGCCCTCTGTTGGATTAGTTCAGGAAACAAAATTTTTATTCTGCTTGGATCACTTATGTAGTCTTCACCCAAACTGAGTACTAAAACAGATTTCTTTTAAACGAATTAAATCTGTTCCAAGAAGAGCAAGAGAAAATAGTATCTTCCTTCTTTTGAAAATGTGTGTATACTTTTGTATCTATAGGCTACAATTAGGGGGCATAAAATGGAAGTAGGGCGCAATTTGGAGAGTATAGACTTGGGGCTTGCAGTCTGGAAAGCCAAGTTCCATTCTCAGTTTACTCCTAATCATGTGACCTCTGTGATTTACTCCATTGTCTGGGCTTTAGTTTCTTTGTTTATACAATAAACAGATGATGCAGATTTGAAGCTCCTCTAGGAATTGATATTTTAGGAAAGTAGCCCCAGATTATGGTATTTGTTCATAGCAATGTAATGACTGAGTCTCAGGCTTTGCCCTGAAGGAACTTAGTCTATATGGGGGGGTGGGGGGTGGGAAGAAAAGACAGAAAATCAAAGACAGCTGTAATTCATTACTGGAGTTGTGAGCCAAGCAAGGACTTAACATCATAGAAAACAGAAGGGGTACCTGACAAGTTAGAGGAGATGGCATCCTGCAGGCCAGTTGGTGTTAGCCTTGAAGACACATCTTAGGCTGTGGGAAGAAACAGCCTAAGGACATCTCTGGCCATGAGATAGCATGAATTGTTTGTGGACCTTTCACAAGAACAGGATGCCCAACTTTTAGTTTGAGGTGGAGAGTTTGTTGAGAGATGACTCTGGGGAAGGAAACCAGTAATATCAGATGCTAAAGAATTTGGGTTTTAACCTGAGGACAATGGGGGCTATTTAAAGGGTTTAAGTGGGGAGATAACATGGAGAGCTTAGCATTTTGGAGTGATTATCTTTGGATATAGTATGGAGAGTGGACTTGGTTTGGGACAAATGGGACTGAAGGCAAGGAGATTAAATTGGAAGCTATTATAATAAGTCAAGTAGTAGGCAAAAATGTCAGAAACTTAGCAGTGGGGTCGACAGAAGAGAAATAAACTAAGGGTCTGTAGACAGAAAAATCAACTGCAAGCCCATTCTTTCTCTTAACCTGCAGCTGTGACCCATCCAGTGGGCACTGCTTCCTTAGTGCCTACCTTTCATCATCCCTCCACTGTTGTTGCTGCGTTTTGAGGGAATGTTTTGAATTTGGAGGAGACAATCTAGAAGAGTTGCTTAGGAGCAAGAAAGTTTTGCCTTGTCAGTTGCAGTCTAAACTGCTTACAGTTACCTCTTTTGTGACTTGTGTCACCTCTGTATACCAACTGACTTAAGGGCAGTGACTAAAGGGAACTCTTGGATGTTGTCTCTGTCTTACTATCCTACTGGCTTGCTTCCTGTAAGCAGCACACACAAAGAAACTAAATTCCATTGCCACTGAGAAGGTTCTTATGATTTCAGGTGAGTGATTGGCACTCAGCAAGTGGAGGTTTGACCTCCTGACCTTGGAGAAGCGCAGAATTAAGATTCTGTTTACACTGGATTTAACTGAACTCTGACTTTGGGAATGTGAGCATAATGAAACAGATTTTTCTTGTCCATAAAAAGGTTAGAAAAACAGCTTTGTGGCATAGACAGAACAAACTTTTCCTTATTTGAGGAAGGCTAATCAAAGAGGCATTCATATACTCTTGTGAGGACATTTACAAAAAGATATAAAGTAAGTAGGACAAAGAAAAATTCCGGCTTTTTCATGCCTACTCATTTCAGATTTATTTTTTAGTATCATCTATATACAGAAGAGAACATAAAACGTTAAGATTAATTATAAACTGAGTAACTATGTAGCTGTCATTTATGTTAAGAAATAAAATATTAAAGCACTCTAGGAGCCCCTGGTCATCTTCCATATCACATGACACAAGTAATAACTACTGTTTTGATATTAAAATCATTCCCTTTATAATTTGACATTTTACTTGTATATGTTTTTAAACAACATAAATGAAGTATTGTATTTAATGTTATGTTTGTGAATAGCAGTAGTTTTTACTTTCTTTACATAATTGTCAAAACTTGTTTATCTTGATAAGCTACTTACCTCTTGATAACTATTGTCTGTTATAGGTATTGGTGTTGCTGCAAACATTCTTTTTATTACACATATTGCTATATATGTGCAAGTACATAGAAATATAAACATTTACTTGTAGTATATGTGCATTTTTAAGACAAGATTTATTTATGCATACAGGAACTGGGGTACAGGCCAGAGGAGTGAGGATAAGGGGGTGAGAGGATTCACCAGAGACAGAGTGGGGAGCAGAACAGGCAGATCCACTGAAACACTGCTGAGGGGAGCAGCAGGCGAGACAGGAGAAGTTTGCTGCACCATGTGGGTCAGCTCCCTGGCCAGGGATTGAACTCGTGCTGCAGTGGCTAAGGATAGCTTCAGAATGCAGTGCTTTAACTCCTTGTGCCACTAGGGAGGCCCTGTATGTGCATTTTTTTTTTAATATTTATTTATTTGTGCATACAGAACTGGGGTACAGGCCAGAGGCTCAGGGGCAGCGAGAGGCCTCATCAGAGACAGAGTGGGGAGCAGAACAGGCAGATTAACGAAGTACACTGCTGAGGGGAGCAGCGGGCGGGTCAGGAGAGGTCTGCCGCGCCATGTGGTCACCTCCGGGGCAGGCGGGAATCGAACTCATGCGGAAGTGGCTTTAGCTTCTTTGTGCTGTGCTTTAACCCGCTGCGCCACCAGGGAGGACCTATGTGCATTTTAACTTACTAGATGGTATAGAGTTTTCCCATGTGGCCATAGCAACTGACTTTACCATCAGTGTGTGAGAGCTCTTGCTGTCCTGACATGACAGACATGAATACTTTTGTCAGTTTTGAGAACAGGATTAACAAAATAATTTCTCCTTTTAATTTGCATGTCTTTGTTTATTTGTGAAATTCAACACATTTCTTGGCCGTTCATCCTCAAATTTAGAGTCTTCAGTTGTCCTTCTCCCTCTTAAACCACAAAGAATCATATGGTTAATGACCTAAAAACTTTTTCTGCCTCTACCTAAGGGAAAATACTAAGGACTAGCTTGTCGGAAATTTTTGTAGCTTGTGAGAGGTAGTTTAGATTTCTTTGACTTATTTTCTCTTTTCCCGCCCCCCCAACCCATCTGGTGTTTGGGAAGTTTCCTGGCATTTCACTCAACTTTCTTCTTCCTCCTTTCCTGTTTCCTAGACTCTGAAGCGGCTCATGGCAGATGAGGTAAGGAAACTTTATTTGGCATGTGCATGCTCTAGCTAATTTCCTACAGTATTTTCCAGTTGTTACTACTTCAACTTGTAATGGTGATGTGGGTTCTATTTTCAGGATACCCCAAAGCTTTTCCCTCACTCTTTGCTCTGCGTTTGGCTCTACTGCATGCAAGCTAACATTTGTTAGCTTCCATGGTTATACTCACTCTAAACTCTGTATGCCACTTACATTACTTGAAGCCTCTGCATGCTTGCAGATATTTATTGTTATTTTTTCATACAGGTTAAAAGCTGCAGCTTTTTAATGGTTCTTGTTGATTTGAGCATCTGTCTGTACTTTTGGTTTGAGGAATGTTTCATGAGTATTTGTTTGGCTGAGAGATAACATGTATACTCCTGAAGTACACCTTATTCTTTGCAAAGGGGATTTTGAAGAATATGTATTGACTTTTCTGCCTGCATAACATAAGAGCTATGTACCAGATGAAAGAAAGGGAATGGTTACTGCTCTTAAGGCATTTACTTGTTTATCCTGTATAAGATATCTATTAAAAATCTGACCACTTGATTGGTGGATAGCTAGACAGATGCAAAGGACATTTTATTGAGATACCTAAGTATATCAGAAACTTTCAGTTCTGTGCTGTTAGAAGAGTTAGAATTGACAGAGGTGCTCAAGAAACAACTTTTCTCTGTTTAGAGGTTACACGTCTTAATACTTAAGTTCTCTTTTGGTGAAGATGAAAATACAGAGTCACCATGATAAATTAGAAACAGTGACGACTATTTTTTTCTTTTCATATCATAAAAGTCTTGAACAACCCACAAATCATATGTAAAACGTTAGAGTTGGCTATTTGATATGTATTTTGTTGTGTAAATGAAAAGTGGGTCACTGCTAATACTTTTTTCCCCCCTTTTTCTTAGCTGGAGAGATTTACTAGCATGAGACATAAGAAGGAGAAGGAGAAACCCAATTCTGCTCATAGAAATTCGGCATATGGAGATGATCCCGCAGCACAGTCACTGCAGGACATTTCAGATGAACAAGTCCTAGTACTCTTTGAACAGATGTTGGTATGTTTCCCCAAAATAAAAATATTGCTTATTTCTGAAAATGTGTTTATAGGTATGGTGGGCCCACTGTAGAATATTAGTCCCCCTTAATTAAAATTGCCCTTAATTACAAAGAATTCCAGCCTTACCAGGAAAAGTTCTTAATAGCAGTCCCATTAATGAAGAGACTCAGCAAGTACCAAGTTATGGGATTGGGCTCTATGATTTAGAGTTGGATTATTTGGTCATTAACTACCTTGACCAACAACATTATAGCCACAATGACAGGATTAATGGACCAACTCATGTGGTTGTGTGGAGACCACCTTTGGGATAGCCGGAATAAATAGTGTTGAAGCATTCATAATGAACTCTATACAGAGAAATAGAGGAATAGAAAGGCATCATTTGCCCATGGCCCTCAGTTTAGTGGTGAAACTGGGGAGATAATTCTGATGCTAGATGATGTTTTAAAGATTGTGACTGAAGCCAGCTGAGTGATGAAGTAAACATGAATATGACTTATTTGCTGTCCTCATTGAGGAGCACTGAGTGAGGAAGATACTCAGTAAAAGTGTACCAGTGTTAAATCTTGGGAAGGTTAGAGTAAATGCTCTTAAGGTTTCATAAGAACTTTATAATGCTGGCATCTGTGATCTCAGAGTCGAATAGAGTTAGTGGCAGGTCTAACTTAAAAACATGGGATTAAAACACTTAGCTTGGGTCCTAGTACATAGGGAACATTCAAACAGTACTGTTGTTATTTGTTACTAAAATTTTCATTTTGTCCCTTTAGTTATCCAAGTGTATTAACAGTCTCTAAGAGTATGATCTCTAAAGACAATGTCTTGGTCTTGCATTATAAATTTAGATTTCTTTGGGGCCAGGAGGTATGGTAAGTACGTCAAACAAGCTAGATGAGGATAAAAAGGAAAAGTGATTTGAAAAAGGGCTTTCAGCATTTTTGCTAGGAAGTTAGGCCACAATTCACTTTCCGTAGGTTTTTAGCATTCTTATTGGGAATGCTAGCCCAGTAGTGTCAGATACTTCCATTTTTCAAAAGCAGCAGATAGCTATAAGTTTTCAAAACAGTAATTCTTTAATTACAGCAAATATAGCCAAAATTCAAATTTCCCCAATTAATTAAAAAATAATAATTTATTCAAATCCCAGTTCCAAATAAGGCCCATTATACTTACATTCTTTTAAATTTCATTTAATCTATGTTTTCCACCCCTCTCTTACCCTTGCTATTGCTATATATATATAAAAAAATCTTGAGAAACTGATCTGTAGATTTTCCTATAATGTGAAATTTTATCCTTGATAACAATCCCTTGGTGCTGTTTTACCAGATGTCTATATATTTATGTGACATCTTCAGTGTGTAAAATGTTGGGCTAACCAGGCAAAACATACTGTGTTTTTGGGTCTGATTCAACCTGAGGACTACCACTTTGCAACTGTTCGATTTATTTGTAAAGGGGGGGAATAAAAGTACTAGAAAGTAAGTCAGAAAAATTCAAATTTGCATTACTACTTGGAGACAATGATTCCTTCACATACACACTCCTGCACACACCTATATACCCCCAGAAGAAATAGAATATATCTACCTTTCTCACTGTACTTACTCATTCAGAGAATATTCTGGATCTTTCTAAGTTAAACTTTCCCTCACTCAGGCACATGGTCATATAGGCCCAGCAGAGCCTTTCCCCTAACACCTTGTCTCAGGTGGCATCTTTTGAGGGATCTACTTTATTCAGTCCTCCCACCCCTTCTTCATTGCAAAGGAGTTTGTGCAGAGGTTGACTTTACCAGGAGTGATATGTATTTAGATCCTGGAGGAATTGGTGCACATTTTGCTGGTGTCAGTTTTGCTGTATTTGGATAATCTAGTCACCTAGTGCTTCAGTCTGAAGTGACTATTAAGGTTGTCCTAAAGAGAAAAATTTGTATGTACTTTTCTTTGAATAATGCAGAAGTTTTCATTTATAGTATGAGTCTATTTATGTTAGGAAAAAAATAAGTGTACATATAGGCAAATGTCAGAAGGATTTATATCTCAATGTTAACCACATTTTTTCTTGAGGAATTTTCATCGTCTATAATAACTTCATCTCTAGGGACCAGGAAAACTTATTTTTTCAATAAGTATTTAATATGTTTAACTATTCGTTAAGTATACTAAGTATTAAAATCTAGAAACTTGTGAAGAATTTAGGCAGTTTTTCTCTTTTTTCCTCCCTCTCTTAGGTGGATATGAACCTGAATGAGGAAAAACAGCAACCTTTGAGGGAGAAGGATATAATCATCAAGAGGGAGATGGTGTCTCAATATTTGCATACCTCTAAAGCTGTGAGTTTTAGGATAGCTATCTTTGATAAAGGATATTTTGCCAAATTAAGGAACTTGGATTTGTTCCTTAACTTTATCTGTTTTATGTCATTAACTCTAATTCATTCTGTTAAATAAGCCTACTCATTTTCTTTTTACTCTCAGAAAGTGTATATGGGAATGGGATCGGAAACTCTGGTTCTCACATAGTTTGGTGTTTGGTGGTATTTGCCCTGACACTACTTACATTGTATTAACTATTAGTTTCTGATTTATGACTGACTCCTGTATTTACTAACGTGTCTCTGTGTTCCTGTCTAGGGCATGAGTCAAAAGGAGAGCGCTAGGTCTGCCATGGTGTACATTCAGGAGTTGAGGTCAGGCTTGCGGGACATACATCTACTCAGCTGCCTGGAGTCCCTGCGCGTCTCTCTAAACAACAACCCTGTTAGGTGAGGATTCTTGTGTAACAGGAATTGTAGCCCAAGGTTAGAATTCACTGGTAGGAAGTAAAGATCAGAGGAATCAGAGAAGTATGAGAATGTTTTGAATTGATAGTAAAGAGTGGCCAGGAAAAGTGTTTCAGTGAATATTTTTTGATCTGATTTGCTAATGTGTTGTGTCTGTGTTCTTTACAGTTGGGTACAAACATTTGGTGCTGAGGGCCTGGCCTCCTTGTTGGACATCCTTAAACGACTTCATGATGAGAAAGAGGAGATTACTGGGTGAGAACTTCCAAGTATTGACATCTGAGTAGTGGGTAGTAGGGTGCTTGACTATTTACACCAAAAGAGCAAATAATAGTTAAAATGAAATGCACTGGAAGAATATGCTATTAGCTAAGGATGGGTTAATCATAGGGATGAGTAGAGGATAAATGATGATTATAAATAGAGGAAAGGGAAGAGGAACTTAAATTTCATGGTGAATAATACAGGATATATACCATACAACATTATGAGTTCCCAGCACAAGACTGTTTTCTGGAAACAGTCTTATTTAATCTGGAGCTGCCCTGTGATCTTGTCTGGGTCATATTTCACTTGGAGTCCTATGCACTTAAACAGTTTAGAGCTAGTTTTATATCATTCGTCAGGGTTTGACTAATTCTGGGGATACCTTGGACTGTCTTAGGCTACCTTGGAGCCAGCTTGAACCAAAGTGTCTGAATGTTCAGACTCCTGCTTGTAACATTTGAAGTAGTGAGACAAACAGATGTAACATCTCTCAGAAGTTATCCTGATAGTATTAGCACTTAGGACCTAGAAGGAGTTATAGGGCATACTAAATTGTTGGCTCGTGAGATTAGTGAGAAGTCTGTGATGGTAGGGATCCTTTTTTAACTGCTCTGTTTCTGCCAGTGTTTCAGGCAAAGTGCTGTGTCCTAGAATTTAATCAGCTACTAGTTGGGTTGTTCTTAACATCTTGTCCGGAAGATTGAAAAAATCAAATAAAAAATGACAAAGTGACCTCTCTATCTTTTTTTATATATGCAGAAACTATGATAGTCGAAATGAGCATGAGATCATTCGTTGCTTAAAAGCTTTTATGAACAACAAGGTGAGTTTTTTTTTTTTATTCTCATTCAGATTCTTATTATGAGCCCCATTTTTTGTCTTCTATTGGCAGACTTCAAAAAGGAACTAGAAGGTTGAGGTTCAAGACTTCCCATCTTAATATCCTAACTGTTGGATTGCCATACATATAAGCCTGCATGAACTTTTTGTCCTTTCTAATGTCTATGCCAGAGGACAGGATCAATTTTCTTCCTTTGTCTATAATGTCTTCTGCTAATTCTTGAATTTCCTAACCTGTAGATACTATTTTTGGAATGTTAACCTTATTCTTGACTTTTGTTTTTCCTTCTCAACTTGTTCCTACCTTTAGAATCTCTTATCTTTTTTTGTCTGTTTAGTATTTGAAACCCAGGGATCCCACAGTTACTTGCTTCTGAATGCAAATCTGTCTTCCTCACTATTTAATTTTGTTATACTTAACCTAGTGTATTGTATGGGGGCGCATTTAAAAGAAGCATAAAAATTAAAGATTTTTAAAAGACACAATTCTAATTCTGTCTTGTCTACTAGAAAATAATTTTGTTGTGCTCACCTCTCTTTAGCTACACGGGGAAGTGTTTTCCTCCTGTATTAGTTTGCTAGGGCTGCTGTGAACAGAGTACTACAAACCAGTATCTTAAACAACAGAAATTTATTGTTTCATAGTTCTAGAGGCTGTACGTCCAAGTTCAGAGTGTCAGCAAGATTACTTGCTTCAGAAGACTATGAGGGAGAATGTTTGACGTCTTATAGTGCTTGGTGGCTTGCTGGAAGCCTGGCATTCCTTGATTTGTCAATGTATCATCAGTCCGCCTTTGTGTTCACATGGCATTCTCTCTGTTTGCATGTCTAGGCCCACATATTCCCTCTCTGTGAGGATGCTAGTTATGTGGGATTAGGGGGCCTATTCTATCCCACAATGTAACCTAATTGATTACATCTGCAATGACCCTACTTCCAAGTGAAGTTTTGGGGGCTCATTCGGCCTTCACATGTGAATATTGACAGGAAGAGTGGGGAATGTGGATACCCTTCAACTCATACTCTTAAACTCCTGTATGGTTAGATGCTGTCATTTTTACATCCCCCTTCTCTGTTATTTTCCTACCAGTTTGGAATCAAGACCATGCTGGAGACAGAAGAAGGAATCCTACTGCTGGTCAGAGCCATGGATCCCGCTGTTCCCAACATGATGATTGATGCAGCTAAGCTGCTTTCTGCTCTTTGTATCCTACCCCAGCCAGAGGACATGTACGTGACTACAATTCTCTTTTTCATTCTCTTCTCTGAACCATCTTCCCAAGTCTGGAGGAATATTGAGTTGATTATGTTTCCACTTGGTCTTAAATGCAACGTAAAACGTATTTCTTCCCAGACATAAACACACTGAATCTTAATATTAAAGATTGTTGAGTAATGGAGGCTGTCCTGAGTTTACTACTGGTTTTCAGAGGAACAACAGATTGTCTTTTAGCTCTCCATTGATACTTATATTGTTTAGGACAAATGTTTTCTTTTTTATTTTCCCAAAATTCAGAAGTAATGTTATTTTAACAATTCACACAAACAGTATATTATGCAAGTATGTAGAGTACAGCATAACAGCCTCATTCCTTCAGTAAATCCTATTCTGCAGAGGTAACCATTGTGAATGACTTGGTATAGTTTCAGATTTTTAAGGAATTAATTCCTTTAGTATAAGATTTTTATTTATTTTATTTTGCATAGAAGAACTTGGGTGTAGGCCAGAGGTGCAGGGGGTGAGAGGGTTTACCAGAGATAGAGATGGGAGCAGAACAAGCAGATCTACTGAAATACACTGCTGAGGAGAGTAGTGGGGTGAGACAGGAGAGGTCTGCTGTGCCATGTGTCAGCTCCTTGGCGGAAGATCAAACTCAAGCCATCACGGTGGGCCATCATGGTGGTAGCCCTGAAACTTAATCACTAGACCACCAGGGAGGCCCTCAAATCTTTTTTTTAGGACAGAGAAATATATTGCATTTACTTGATTCTAAAACATCTTCTACCACTCTATAAGATGGTATCTTAGAAATGAAGAAAGATGACTTATGCCTTTAAAACCATTTGTATATAGAGAAAAAATTTTTATTTTTATGGAGGGGTTCGTTTAACGAATACCAAATAATACTATTCATTCTTTTCAACTTGTTTCTTTTTATTTAGCAGTAAACCTTGGACATCATTTTAATGCCAGTACTTATAGATCTACCTTATTATTGTTAGTGGCTCTAACATTCCTTAATATATGTGCCTTATAATTCTCCATTGCTAGACTGTTAATTTTTTTTTCTAATAGGTAGATTTTTTTTTTTTTATTTTACAAAAGTTTATTTTTACATCATTTTGTACATTTTTTTTTTTCCTCAATTGTAATCCCCGCGGGTTTCCCATCACCAAGTCACCCGTGTGCCATCACCATAATCCCGTGTATTTCCCTCCCCACCCCCCCCATTTTTGATCTCATTCCCCACTCCACCCCCGCAAAATGTCTCTGGTATATGGTTGTTCATTATTTTTGTTATTTTCTCGCCTGGTCCATATAGGTAGATTTTTTTTTAAAACAGATTCTCATCCCTGTTCAAGATGATAAAAATTTTACTACTATAAATGCTATTTCAATATAATATCTTTGTACGCATATTTTTTCACACTTGTGTATTTGTATTGGATAGGTTTATAGAAGTAGTAACCTACTTGTAATAGTTCTAGTATTCTCTGCATTAAAAATTGGTGCTGTAAATGCCCTTCCAAAAGTTATATCAATTTATTCTCTGTAGAACAGAGGTTTTAATTTGCTATTTAGGGATACAATTCAGGGAGTACATTTTTCTGAAGAGATGTTCCTTTGCTTTCAGCAGATCTGGCTTTGCTCTTAAGTGATGAGAAGAATGTGGAAAATCCAGAATGATGATAATCTTTAACTGATGTGCCCGTGTGTGTTACCTGTTTTGCATGTCTGTGTCAGGATGCCTGAGCAGTTCTGTCCCTTTGCTTTTTCCTGGCCAGGAATGTAAGGGTTTTGGAGGCAATGACAGAAAGAGCTGAGATGGATGATGTGGAACGTTTTCAGCCACTGCTGGATGGATTAAAAAGTGGCACATCTATTGCACTCAAGGCATGTATTCCCCCTGCAGCTGGTTCCCAAGGGTAGAATTCAAGATGGAAAAACTTAAGTTCACTTGACCTTTTAGTAGGACAAATGGGATGGTTCCCAGCTGTATATTTATATTTCAGATTTTGTTCTGAAGGGGAAAATGATTATTTCCCTAAGAAGACAGAGGAGAACAGTTTTCCTGATTTTTGAGATGAGTGAAAGGTTTGGTATTTATTCACAAGCTAGGAAAACCAGTGCCTGGAACAAATTATACCACCACATTCTTAAAATTATAATATTTAGACCTTTTAGTTCTTTAGACCCGTGCTTTAGGTCTTACTGCTTTAGCAGAAAGTAATTTGTGTGGCCTTGTAAAATATATCTTCTAATACATCTATTACATGGAGTCTAATATATCTTCTAGACTGTATTTTAGGACTTCAGAATTTGTTAAGAGAATGGAATCTTGATCCCTACGAGTCAACATTTATAAACTGCTTAATTTTCTTATTTTAGGTGGGGTGCCTACAGCTGATCAACGCTCTAATCACACAAGCTGAGGAACTTGATTTCCGAGTTCATATACGAAGTGAACTGATGCGCTTGGGATTGCATCAAGTGTTGCGGGTAAGAAGCAAGACTTCGTTAGAAAGCTGGTGCCTTCCTGCCCTTACATAGCTCAATATCCCAGGGATAACTTTAATTTTCAGTTTAAATCCAAATGGTTTTTAGGTAGCATAGGACTCCTGTGTTTCCTGATATCTACTTTTGTCATTGACAGGAACTTCGAGAGATTGAAAATGAAGATATGAGAGTACAGATATCTGTATTTGATGAACACGGGGATGAAGATTCTGAAGAATTGAGGGGACGACTGGAGGACATTCGAATCGAGATGGAATATCCTTTTACTGACTGGTTTCAAGATAGTGGAGATTTTCATTTGCATTCAGCTGTAGATCTTGGTCTGGATTGGTGTGGGGGTGATGACTCCTCACAGGACTTTCAACCCATGTGCCTGCTCAGTAGACAGTGCAGGTGTGTTTTGATTGCTGTTGTATTTACTTAGCTTCAAAAGGACACCAGAAGTTAACAAAGGTGATTTGTGGGTTGCTCAGCATGGAAGAGGCCATCAAAATGAGTATAGAACATGATAGTTTAGCTTAACTAGATGTGGCATTTACTAAGATAAAGATCTTTGAAAAATGTACACAAAGTGGGGAGTAATGTTATAATTTCCTTCCCATATATATCTGCAAGGTTGGCAGAGTAATTTGATCGCCCATTGATACTTGGCACAAGTGACTGAGGCAGTCAACTTCTTATTGCTTGATACTCTAGCCAGATACCTCCATTGGTTTTGAACATATTTCTAGGAGGAATGCTGTAAGAATAAAAGTGACATCTTTTTTTTTTTTTTTTAAAGATTTATTATTTGTGCATACAGAGTACAGGCCAGAGGTGCAGGGGTGGTGAGAGGATTCACCAGCTACAGAGTGGGAAAGGGAACAGGCAGGTCAATGAAGTACGCTGCTGAGGGGAGCAGCGGGCGGGTCAGGAGAGGTCTGCCACGTCATGTGAATTACCTCCGGGGCTGGCGGGGATTGAACTCATGCTGAAGTGGCTTTAGCTTCTCAATGCTTGGCTTTAACCTGTGATGCCACCAGAGAGGGCCCCATAGAAGTGACATCTGTTTACTCAAGAGGTGGGCAAGATGTCAAACATAGTTTTTAAATATATGCTTTCCTTAGCGTTTTCCCTTTTCCACTGACTTCAGTGAAATCTTCCAGATTCTCTTAAACACAGTGAAAGATTCAAAGGCAGAACCACACTTTCTCTCCATCCTGCAGCACTTACTCTTGGTTCGAAATGACTATGAAGCCAGGTAAGATAATATGCCTGTGGAAAGTTTCAAATTTGAGTCTATTAGAGTGGGACCCTTGTCTAAAGTTTATCTGTAAAAGAAAAAGAAAAGACAAGGATTAGGGTTCATTTTTAGTCACACTTATAAAGGGAGTTGTCACTTGTCTCTTTATTTACAACTGAAGGCCATCTCTATGGAAAAAGGATGGCGTGTATAAGGTGAAATGCCATTGCTGTTTTGAAGGGGCTCGGTAGAGTAGGGTAAGGAAGGTAAACAGCAAAGGTTAGCAGTTTAAAGTTCTTGTAGGTTGCCTGGCATTAGAGCTTCAGCAATAATAACTTGGGTCATGCCTGAGTTTTTAGATGGAAAAGGATTGGTTTTAGGGGCAAATGGCAAGAAGTTTTGATTATCTGAAGTAGATGGGTTAGATAATATGGAAGAGGAGGGTTTCTTAGCATAGTATCAGTACTGGTGATAATTTTGTAAATAAGTCTTTTCCAGAACACTTACCCTTAAGTTCTTCTATTGTCAAAGCAATTAAGTCCTTAATGCCAAATATGTGCATGTGTATAAAACTATATGTATGTATAGTTTCCCTTTTTATTTTGTCACATGTGTATATTATATATATTATATGTTATATCTGACAGAAAATAAAAATGAAAACTATATTTCAGTTTCCCTTTAATAACTTCCATTTGTTTCTTCCATAGACCACAGTACTATAAGTTGATTGAAGAATGTATTTCTCAAATAATTCTGCACAAGAATGGGGCTGATCCTGATTTCAAGTGCCGGCACCTCCAGATAAATATTGAGGGATTAATTGGTAAGCTTACTTTTCTCCTGATACCTTGAAACACTGCTTCTGCCATTTTGCATCTTTATTTCAGAGACAGTATCTTATACTTTCATTTTTGCCCTTTTTTAGGTGGTGTCACAACATTTATGTTAGGAATATAAAGCCTTTTTGTTTACTTTTACCTAAACACCACCTGACCTTTTGTTTGTTTTTAAGATTTTTATTTATTTATGCATACAGAACTGGGGTACAGGCCACAGGTGGAGGTAAGAGGATTCACCAGAGAGAGTGGGGAGCAGAATAGGCAGATACACTGAAGTACACTGCTGAGGGGAGCACAGGCGGTCAAGAGAGATCTGCTACATCGTGTGGGTCACCTCCCTGGCCAGGGATTGAATTCATGCAGCAGTGGCTATGATAGCTTCATAGTGCCACCAGGGAGGGCCCCACCTGAATTTTTGAATGGCAGCTGTTCTGCATCTCAACACTGCTGAAGTACATCACTCGTAGGCATTCTCTATGGCAACCAGGTTGGTGGCCTTACTACATGGTATAGTACGGAAATTATGTGATGATCTTACCTGATAGTTCCATTTCTTCATCTAGAGTAGAACAATAAAAAGGACACTAATAACAACCAGAAGAACAAAAAACTGTCCTTGAGTTTTGTTGAAGGGCTTAGGTAGTGAAAAGGGAAGACAAGAGAACTGGGAACTTTACTTACTGGCTCCTCTTCTTTTCAGACCAAATGATTGACAAAACAAAAGTGGAGAAATCTGAAGCCAAAGCTACAGAACTGGAAAAAAAGGTGTGTTATGGGTGATCCGAAATTTGGGGGTGTATCTTTTGTCTAAAAATTAAGATTTTTCTGACATGTGAGAAAATTGCCTGTGATATTTTGAAAACATTCAGTGCACAGTAGCAGATTCCCAGAGGAAACCTTTCTGTTATAGTTACCCAGTGAAGAAAGCAATATGGTCGTGGTCATGAGGAGCTAGTTAGTGGAGAGTTTATACAATTCTTGAGCCCCTGGACAGGATAAGAAAGATAGGTTATGAGTTTAGATAATAATGCCAGCATTCTCAAGTTAGCTTCACAAGGCCTGTTATCCCTAGAACAACAGGAACTGGAGTAGATCTGAACTCTTTCTCTCTTTGGTTATTAAAGACTGTGATTACAGTGGGTTTTTTGACCCTAGGGACTATTTGGGTTGTACCACATAGCTGTCTGGTTGAAACATCTTTACAATCTTAGTGGGTGTTTATTTTTTTGATATGTTGGTTGGCTTTTGTTTGTTTTTGGGATATTTTGTTCGTAGCTATACCAAAGAATCAACTGGAAATGATATTCTGATTCCCAGCTCTTTAAAGGTCACAATCTTGGTGTTCTGACCTGCCCCCATCCCCTTTCTGTGCTGCCCAGGCATTCTGTGGGTCAATGAGCTCTGTAGATCAAGTATTGGCACAAAGCAGTGAATTATGGAAAGTAACATGCTTCTCACCAAGATGGTGAGCTTGCTGGGAGCCTGGTTCCTTTCTCCTCTAGCTGGATTCAGAGTTAACAGCCCGACATGAGCTACAGGTGGAAATGAAAAAAATGGAAAACGACTTTGAACAGAAGCTCCAGAGTCTTCAAGGAGAAAAGGATGCACTGGATTGTGAAAAGCAGCAAATTGCCACTGAGAGAAAGGACCTGGAAGCAGAAGTGGCTCAGCTCACAGGAGAGGTAATGTGTGAGGGGGCAGGCCAGCAGCTGCCTCAGGATGAGCCTTGGTCAGCTCCCTCCTAGGGGCTGGTACAGCATACTAGTAGGTTATCTATTAGACAGTGCATGCTTTAAAATCCTCCTACTTTTTTGTTTTCTTGAAGTAAGTAGTATATGAGGTGGAAAATTTGGAAAATGCACAGTAGCATAAAGAATAAAACAAGTTATACTACTACCCAGAAATAAAGATAGTCTAGTCTAATCTTCTAATAAATTTAAATGTGACTACTGTTTAGAAGTAAATGTGTTTTACAGAGCAACCCCAATGTGAAATGGGTTGGCTTGACTGTGGATGCTCACCCACACACTTAAAAGGGACCTAAAATGAGACTCAACTGCAGACATAAACAAGTTAACAAAGGGTTTATTTACAGAAAGGAGAAATGAAGAAATAAATAACTCAGAGAGAAAGAGAGAGACATAAATTGGTGAACATGTCTTACCAGTTCTGCTGAGCTGGAACCCCACTAGCATGCTGAAAACTGGTGAAAAACCAAGGACCCCCCAAGGCCCACATGTCTGGTCATATACCAAACCTGGCTGTCTTACTTCAGTTCCCAGCATGCTCCCTTCAGTGGTGATAGCATATGGGATTTCTAGTCCTTGGTATCTTGGATCTCTTTGGCTTGGGGTGGGGGTGGAGTCCATAAAACCTATTTGTGGAGTTCAGGTCATCCTTTCTCCCCAACAATGAGACTATACTCATATTTGCTAATTTTCTCTTACTATTTTCTGTCATCTTTGAACAGGTTTTTCCCACACACACACACACCGTCTCCACAGTTATAGATCTCAAATAATTTGTGATATTTTACAGATTATTTAACATGTACCATACATGTTAATTATGTAATTAGAGTATTTGATTTAATTGACCTTTGTATTTTCTAATCAGAGGGAAAGATAAGCGTAAAGATTGAAGTGGCCTTATTAATGTAAAGCATTGTAAAATAAGAACACAAAGGTCCAAATTCTGGTTTTGGCTTTGCCACTAAATAGTGATATAGCAAATCATTTTGTCTGTCTCAGTCCTCTCAGTTTCTTTGTGTATAAAATGAGAAGTTTGTATTCCTTAGGTCTCTTCCAGTCCCATTCCTCTCTGAAGTGCAGTTAAAAAGCTCTCCCATTGATGTTGTTTCTGTAGGTTGCCAAGCTCTCCATGGAACTGGAAGATGCCAAGAAAGAAAGGGATTCTCTCTCTGCTGCAGCTATTGCTGCGGCAGCCTCCATCAGTGCTGTTCCCCCTGCCCCTTCTTCCCCTACTAGCTCTGCTTCTCCTCTGTCCCCATCCTCTCCTTTACCCCCTCCTCTACCTCTTCCTGAGAGTTGTGCCATTCCTCCTCCACCACCACCCCCTCCCTTGCCTGGAAGTTCTCCTATCCCCCCACCCCCTCCCCCTCCATCCCTCTGCTCCGGCCACGAGCTGCACCTGGAACTGCAGGGGTGCCCACACCCCACCCCATTCTGCACTCGAGGCACCCCCTCCTCCTCCATCCCTCTGCTCCGGCCACGAGCTGCACCTGGAACTGCAGGGGTGCCCACACCCCACCCCATTCTGCACTCGAGGAGGCTACTCAGTGAGGGGCCCACAGGTCTGTGGTTCGTTCTCCCCAGGCGGGGGTCCCCGTTAGCAGCCGTACAGGACAGGTAGGGATTAGCCAGAGGCAGCAGCATCGTGGTGCCGCACACTCGGGAATGTTCTCGGCTGCCTGGAGAGGAGACGGTTCTCAGGCCTGGGAAAGGCCTCGGAAACCAAACCCTGACTCTGGGCGGGAGGCTCAGGCCGTCCCCAAGGGGAGACATAGCGGCACTTCACTTGAGCCCAAGGGGAAGGTGTTAGCCCACCTCGCTCGAGTCTCGGATTAGAGCAGGAAGGGGGTGAGGCTGCCCTGAGGACAGGTGGGCAGGTCGGACTGGGTCCCTCCTCTTGGAAAGGGGGTTGGGGTGCTTGGGACCCCAGGACCTCCCACTTTCACACGTCTGTGTGAGCATCACCCAAACGTGAAGGGGCCCATGGAGGAAACAGAACACTCGAGAACAGTGTCAGGTCCACAGCGCAGCCCTCTGCGTCACAGTCTCCCCTTCAGTGGCAGAGGGGGCCGCCTTCCTTTCTCTAAGTGATACTTGCTTAAAAAAAAAAAAAGTTTGCAGGCAGCGAGCACCTGCCTGACCATTAAAATCCACCAGCCCTGCACCCACCCCCACTCAGGGTCAGACCCTCGATTCTGATGCGTCAGGAAGACTGACATTTTCACCCTCCAGGTGCTGTCACACCTTGTCTTAAATGATGGTCGCCACACCCCAGTGAGTGGACCCTGACCATAGG